AAAACAAACAAGACACTTTCTGCAGTCTAACACTCAGTCACTGTTGAAAGCACTCATTATAAAGTGCTCAGTCATGCGATTTGCAGATTTGTGGTTACATGTTGCCACTTAGTGTAGAGCCTCTACTTAACCTAAAGTAAGCAATTTGGGCAATGAAGTGAATCAAATGATTCCTATGAATGATGCCCATGCAAAGCTCAGGCTTCTAGTCACATAATTTCTCCATGCTCGTTGTGACCTTTGGGTGCAAAGCCTTTCGAGATTTCATAACTGAGCAACAGTCGAAGATACCGTTGTAATTTTGAATCCTCAGCTAAGGACATGAATCAAGCATTTGTCTGACCTCTGCTGTCGAAACAACACGGGGTCAGGCGGTTTATCACCACGTCAAGATTTCGCCACCACATTTTAGTACATTTGACCTTGCGATGAACACTTGCTTGGAAAAGTTAATGAAGCTGTTCTGACTAAGCAACGACATTATATCACAAAGACCCGGGGGTTATAAACATTCTCTGAACTTTTTGGGGGCTTGATGGACATTCTTCTTTTTGGATTGTGAGCACTATAAAATACTTCATCTACTGGTGTGCCTTTGAGTTCTGCAAAGATCATTTTAGCAGGAATCCAAGGGAGGAATCGATATTTGCTTTGTCTCCAAGAAGTTTCATCTGGAATTCATCAGAAAAGCATAGTTATGCCTCATCAAACCGTTTTTGGCCCGAGAAGTCATCAAAGTATTGTCAGAATGATGATATTGATTAAAATTGGAAGGGCTGTTAATTGAATGCTATTTTCCCTGTTGTGCTTTCAATTTCAACGAAAAAAAAATGTCGATCATTCTAATGTCATCCAGATGTGCGTTTACCCTTTGTGCGCCATACCCTGATCGCGGAGTTCAAGTGCATGGCTGAACAGCCGTTAAGGTCAACGTTCACCTGTGGAGACGCGGGTCAGACAGCGTCTGAAAACGTATATCTTCCCTTCTTGTGACATTCACCTCGACATTCCCCATCGGAGAATACCGTGTATCCAATCTACTCTCACCTAAAATCAAGAGAGTAGCCATTGCATCAGGTGTAATTACTATGGTTTCTCATGATGTATGAAACAAAACAGCTTGGCAATGAAATTCGCTCAGAGAGAAATACTGTTTTCTTTCCGATTCATCGAATTCCTTTGAGAAAGGTGTTGAGCCATTTTGAATTGTACACGGGGGATTCAAGTGTAATTTCCTAGTGTAAATCGCCTTTAATAAAGCTTTTGCTCAGAATCAGGAATATATTTGTTTATACACTCCATTACCCGAAGATGAACAATTCAGTTCCCTAAGTAAGAGAGGATTATGCTTTTATTCCCTTTGAATTGTGTTTACATATAGTCCAGTTCATGATTCACGTTGACAGATATTCTGCAGCTTTTCCAAAACATTCATTTGGGATGTTACTGTTTACCACATTGCAGTTTAGTGTTTAGTGCCAAATGCAGTTTGAATGAAGCCACCAATCTGTTTCCTACACACAAATTTGACTAAGTTGTTGCTGTCACTTTCGAATTGCCAGACAAATGACAGATTCAAAGAGGTTTGAGAGCTGTCATCACTCTGTGGAGGAAACGCCTCATCTGGATTGTTGTGTCTCTTGTATGGTCTTCATTTTTCATTTCATGAAAATTTGTGTGTGTGATGATTACTATTTTGATCTTTTCAGTTCTAATGTTTGTGTGAGATAGAGGGCCCCACATTCTGCGATACCCCGATCGTATTGAGCGGAGTGGTTCCACAATAAGCGGTCTAAAAACACGGTGGTCCTTTCCATCGCATGCTCATTTTATAGTAGTACAGTGAAACTCCACTACAACGAAACCTACATAAGCGAAAATACCCCCTAGTGTGAAAAAATCTTCATGCATTAACACCATTCCCACTTTCCTGCCGCCCATACAACGAAAAAAACCCCTGTTGCGTGATACGAAATCTTTTTCTCTGCTCTTGCCTCGCGACGAGATTCACTACAACGAAGTCTAATCCAACAGCGACCTCTACTACTTCGTTCGGAAACGGCAACAGCAACCACCACAATGGTTTACATAGTGAACGATGTTTATTTCGGTCACAGCTGCGAGTTTCCTGGGCTCAACATACTCATAGCTGCTCTGCTATTGGCTTACCGAGCATCATCCTGGCCTCCGATTGGCCAAGAGGCCACATAGACCTCACTGTCTATGTGTG